GGGTTGGCCCGTGGGCTCGTTAGCCCGTCAACGCACAGGTTGGGTTTGGTTTTCCCAACTCATTTATTTTGACTGACTGGCCCAACCCAATCCACTAAAATGCTAACTCCTACAGGCTAGATCACAGGTTGGCCCGCAATCTGTTTGCACAACTCTAGTATATAAAGAGAGAGAGAGGGAGGAGAGAGGGAGTAAATGAGATTGTGGGACCCACAATCAAATATAAAATAGCAAGAATTACATATAAGGACTTGAAAAGGAAATTAGTTATATACAATAAACAATAACAAGTCTCATTTAAAAAAAAAGTTATATTCCTATTTTAAGAACAATTCATTCAATATTAGTATTTATCTACAAATAATTATCTTCCTAAATTCTCGAATTTGATTCTCCTAATAATACAATACACCCCCTCTTTCCATTTTCATTTTGTCTTCTTGCACAAACACACACACACAAAGCATCGACTATAGGAGAGCTGATTCATAAGGTAAGGCTCCATAATATGATATTTTAGATGTGACTTCAAATTTTTCAAGACTATATAAATGTTCTAAATATTTTTCTTGATCATTTAACCTCTTTAATTGTTAATTTCTTAAAAGTAACACATCAAGAGTTTGAAAGAGAGACAAATTTATAATAAATGAATATGGTTGTTAAGGTTGTTAGTATTATAATAAATGTTCTAAGATATTAGTTTGTTGAAGGAGTTTAAATTTGAAACTTATAAATTAAACCCTAAACTTTTATAGGTAAATTTTTATTTAATCTACAAATATAAGTTAATTTGTTGCTATTTAGATAATTATTTAGGGCATGGAACATATTACTATGACTATAGAATGATGATTCTAGGCTTGAGATCAAATTTACAATTTCTGTGTATTTTGGGTACAAATTTATGGAATAAAAAAGAATATTTTGACAATAGAAAATAATTTGAAAATTGATTTTAATTTATTGGTGTTTATTGATGATACAAAGAGAAGTTAGAACTTTACATAAGGGTACTAACCATAAACTAGCATTAATAATGAGATTAAAAATTGTGGTATACTCCCTAACTTTATGATTAAGGTTATTTTATTAATTTTAATAATTAAAATTAATATTTATAAATAATATATATGTCCTTATAAATAATATTATAAATAGGATTGAATTGGATTAATTGAACCAAATATAGACCTGAAAAACTACTTTTGGACTGGAACTCGGACCCAACGGTCTTAAGACCATTTCCATTTTTTGATTTTTTTTTTTTTGTCTGATAGCGAGAAGTCAGGGTTTTGATGAAGAAGACAGAAGAACAAAGGGAAAGGAGGAGAAAGATTTCTTATGTGTTAAAGGAGAAACAACTTATTTGACCCAAAAAAAAACAAAAAAAAAAGGAGAATCAACTTATTTGTAAATATTAAAAAAATGATTAAAACTGAACATGAATATCGCCAGGAAATGGAAGAGCCGAACATCACTTGGAGGAAGAAATAGACATTGTTAAAAGACGAGGGTGAGGAGGCGATACACTGAGTGAAAGCCTGAAAGGTATGGGTGAGCAAAATCGAAAATCTAATCAAATCAAATTAAGTTCGGTATGTTTGATTCAGTCTGTTTTAACTTGATCTTAAGTTTAAAATCATCATTCTAAAGTTATAATAATCTGTTTCTTATCCTAAATAATCATCTGAAAAACAAATAAACTTATGCTTTCAGATGAAGCAAAAATATACTTATAAAAATTTAAGATTTAACTCATAAGCATCAAACTTAAATTTCATCAACAAGATAATATTTCAGAATATTTATTATACCATTAAGGACCTCAACAACAAGATTTATTCATCATAAAGTCGTCCCTCTTTCAAACCCTAGATCTGTCACTTTCAAAAAATTAACAGTTAAAGAGAATCAGTAACTAAAAAAAATATTTAAAACATTTACATGAAAAGTTAGAAATCTCACCTGAAATATTATATCATGGAGGCTTGCCTGCAAGGATCTCTCAGCCTCTCTCGCGCGGCGCCACTGGAAGCAGAGAGCGAAGAAGAAGAAGAAAGGTAAGGTGGGTAGGGTAAAGACTGGTCATGGGTGGAGAGTTTTTTTAAATGAAAGAGTGGGTCCCGCATCATTTTTTCCTCTCATTTCTTGTCTGATATTTTTTAAATTCCTCTAACATCACCGTTTCAAGTTTCCACTTTCCCTCTATTTAATAATTTATATTTCTCTCTTCTTTTAAATTCTTAACTTATTATTATCATTATAATAATTATTATTTGTTTCTATTTCAAAACATCTAAACCTAAAATTATATATTAAGTTACACGCAAAGTACTAAACTGAAATTAATTTTAAACACCAAATGGCTAATGTTCTGACAGGATTTATACAATAGGCTTGCATAATTTCATGCTTTGTTATGTATTTCTCCAAGTTTGGGGAAAAATTAACAAATAAACTTTTTTTTCTTACGAGGATAGGTTCGGTTTTTTATAAGTGCAAGTGTAATTGTAACACATTGACAAACTTTATCGAAGTTTTCAGAAATATTAACAAGCAAACTCCAGTTTTAACAAGGACATGTTCTTGTATATGTCATTTTCAAAACATTTATTTAAAACAAAAAAAATTACTAGTCAAACTTAGGTTTTGACAAGAACATATTCCATTTTTTACAAGTGCATATGTAGTTTTCACATTTATTGGAAACCTTTTACCAAAAAAAAATTATAAGTCAAACTTCAATTATTCACAAGAACATGTTATTTATTTTTTTACAAGTAAATATGTGGTTTCTACATTTACTAAAATTACCAACATGGCACAAAAAAATTAGGAAAAATCACCATGAAATTCCCACAATCATTCAAAATATTCAAAAGTTCCATAAAATCTCTAGCTGTCAAGTCCTTTAGGACTTGGGGGAGTATAAAATTGAAATGACAATAATTAAAATGCTCATGTTATAAGATGCGTTGTTCACAACTTGACTACAGTCATTCACCATTCACTACACAATAAAAGCTATTAACAAGTGAGATATTTATCATTCACTTAAGAAATTCACACTTATCAATCACCTTTGCCCTATGACGAATGACATTTGCCAAGTTGTTAAGAAGGCATCTTATAATATAGGCCTTTTGATTATTGTCATTTTAATTATATTCACCCTTAAATTGCCTTAAGTTGTCAAGGACTTGACAGTTATTTATGAATTTCATAGAACCTTTTTAATATTTTGAGTGGTTATGATGACTTCATGATGATTTTCTCAAAAAATTTATGAGTCAAACTTCAAGTTTTTACAAGGACATGTTTGAATTTTTTATGAAACCATGTTCAGTTTTTTTTTTTTTCAAGTTAAACTCCAATTTTTTACAAAGGACGTACGAATTTTGATAGGAAAATGTCTGTGCTTCACAAGGTGGTGTTGTGATTTTCACATGATAACCCAAAATGTTATCGATCCAAATACTCTTACTATCAAAAGAAGAAACCATGCATGGAGGAAAATGTGAAGGATAAATACAATATTCCAAGTGAAATCATATCCAAATTTCGCTCCTATTGTTAAATCAAGCCAATACAATAATGAGAAACCTCCAAACCAGAATCAAATTAAATTTTTGGTTTATTAAAAGGATAATGAAATTTTTTGTTTATCAAATTTACCCTAGCTATCGATTTAGTTTCTGGAATTTAATTTTTATTAATCAAATCCTTTAAGTTTTTAAAATCATACACAATTAATCCTTTTCTGTTTTAAGAGAAAATAACATCAAAAGGACTAATTATTTATGGTTATGATAATTGAGGAACTTATTGATAAAGATTAAAATTTAGATAATTGAAAAAAATTAAGAGACCAAGAGTTTTATTATTTCCAAGTATAATTAAACAACAAATAATTTAATTGCATGTACAACAATTTTTTTAAAAGATATGTTATCCTCACATAAATTAAAATGTAAGCTACATGCATTTAAAGTGTTTATTTTCAATCAAATTAAGACATAAATATTTTTATATATTATTTATTCTATATCAAACTCCCGTTAGTAATATTGTTAATATTCTAAAACCTATTTTCTTTTATTTGATTACATAATACTACCTTTGTTCTAAATTATAGGGCACTTTGAAGAAATTTCTTCATCTCAAAATATAAAACACTTTGAGTAAAATAATGTTTTATTAAATGAGTCAATTTTAATATTATCCTTCCTCTCTTTATAATTAATGTTAGTTTCTTTTCTTTTCAATATAGTAAATGATGAATATTTTTAAAAGTTTATATTTTTTAAAAAAAATTTAATGAAGTTTATTAGTATGTGAGATTTTATTTAAAAGTGTCTTATAATTTATAATAAAAAAAGTAGTATATTAAATATATAATGTTAAGATTTAAGTCTTTGCTCGAATAATAATGAGTAAAACGTCTCCCTCTCATCTTTCCATTTGTCTCTACTGCAAATCTCCATTCACACAAGTTCATGTATCTACAATGAACTTTTAAGTATATATGTCAAAGAAAAAGGAGAAATTCATGAACATAAAGTATTGATACACAATGTATTCTCATATAAAGATGCATTATCTTCTCTTCTTAGCTTTTTTTAAAAAAAAAAATATCAACATTACCTGAACTCTATAAATAAGAGGCACAAGTATGAGACAGTTGATATTAAGGTTGTGAGAATAATAGTATTATTATTAATCAACTTATATAGTAAAATTTGTTAACTTATCATTGTAGAACTATATACAACTACAACACCATGTAGTTCTACAATGATTTTTTTTTTTTAAAAAAAAAAGAGTTTTCTTTCAAGAAATTGAAGTTGCCTGAAACATTAAATGGTGCAGCCATCTTCGGTTAGTCATGATCAGGTTATGGTGATTTATTATAGAAAATTGATATGTAAAATTTTATCTAACAGTGCCTTATAATATAAAATGAAGGGAGTAGTATATTAAATATATAATGTTAAGCATTTAAGTCTTTGCTCAAATAATAATGAGTAAAACGTCTCCCTCTCATCTTTCCATTTGTCTCTGCTACAAATCTCCATTCACACAAGTTCATGTATCTACAATGAACTTTTAAGTATACATGTCAAAGAAAAAGGAGAAATTCATGAATATAAAGTATTGATACACGATGTATTCTCACATAAAGATGCATTATCTTCTCTTCTTTCAGACAATTGCAGTCATTACTCATTACAGCCTTCAATGATGCAACGGAGCTCTGTTTCTTCTTCTATCTCTAGTAGCCATCTTCTGCCCATATCTCTCAAATATATCTGCCAAGTCAACTAACCCTACCTCTCTAAACTTTTTCCCAACCTCCTCAAACATTATCACACCTTCCTCATTGGAATAGTAATGCAAAAATTTATTATAATCAAACCTGGGCACCTCAAGCCCCCTGTTCGTCATCCTCTCCACATACTTTGTGGCTTCCAATGACTTGCCCGCTTTCACTAAACCACCCACAAAAATGGTGTCGAAATTGACAAGCGGATCTGACCCTTTCCTTCCTCTCTTCCCCAAATGCCCCTGCAACAGCATTATATATGTATGCATAGTTGGTTCACAACCTCTTCTGATCATCTCCCTAAACACCTGAGTTGCTTCACTTGCCCTTCTCAACCTCAAAAGACCTTTCATCAATCCATGGTAGACACTTATATCTGGTTCATCAATCCCTTCCACAATCTTATAAGCCTCTCTAGCTCTCCCTCTTGCTAGAAGCCCATATGTGAGAAATCCCATTGTTGAGTTATCAGCATGAATGCCCCTTTTGCGCATTTCTTCAAACACAACCTGTGCTTGAGTGATCATTCCCTTCTTACACATCCACTTGATCACAAGCTTGTAAGTTGAGAGACCAAGTTCATCTATCCTCTTCACCCTCATTGTGTGGAAGAGCTTCATAGCCTCGTCATACCAATTCTTCTTGAAAAAGGTGTCCATAATTTTCTCAACCACTTCCATGTCAGGCTTGAACTCTTCATCCACCATCAAATTCCAGATTTTTGAGGCTTCAATGACATCACCCCCATCACAGAATCCCCTAATCAAATGCTTGTAAGTATCCCCATTGGGTTTAATCCATTCTTTTAACTTGAAAACAACAAATCTAGCTTCAACAACTAGCTTGCCTCCACACATAGTCTCAACCACCTTGTTCAAAGTCCCTATATTGTATGCATAGTTATTGGAATTCATCAAGTGGAAGAGCTCCACACACTTCTGCAACTCTCTAGCAGCACCTAAAACCATCAATGCAATCTGAAAAGTCTTGTCATTAACCAAATGACGTCGTCCCATCTCTTGCAGAAGATCCCAAAAAAGCTCAATGTTCCTCGATTTTCCAACTACGTCAAGCATCTTGTTAAAGGAGACGGAGGTGTGATTGAATGATGGGTTTAATTGGGTGTACTGGAAGAAGCGGTACACAGGTCGCCATGAATATGGGAAGTTGTTGCATACCTGAATGAAAAACTCATGAGTGAGATCAAATTCGGAGGATTGGAGCTTAGAGTGGAGTCTGGGCTCCGGCAAGTTCTGCTGCTGGTAGAGAATGGTGCACACTCGGAGGAGCTGTTGAGGGTTCACCGGTGTGATAGGATTGGCAAGGTGGGGTTCCCACAAGGCAGTAGCTAGGGAGCGAAGGTGGTGACCAAGAAGAGGATTGTTGAAGGAGAGAATTGTCCTTCGAAGAAGCATTCTTGAGTTTTTGACAGAGGTGGGAGTGAAAATGAGAATATGCATTCCATGCTCATTAGATAGACGAGCGCCACATGCTCATCTCTTATGCACACCGTTTTGCTAAAAATGAAGGAGTCATAACCGTCCATTTCAACATAATCTGGCTGTTCATTTTTATTTTTAAAATTTCTAATGGTTCTTCAAATTACCTCAGCAACAAGGTTCACAAGTGGAGCGGAAGACTGAAATTGGGGCAGAGACTGAAAGTGGAACAAGTTCTGGAGCAGGAGAGAGAAGTGCTGCGAAGACTGAATGTAGAAGAGAAGGTGGGTAATGCACCTCTGCCATCGATAGCAACCATCTACACCTGCAATCAATGTCTAGCTAATAAGTTTCCACCTTCTCAATATACCTTTTTTTTTTAAAGTTACGACAGCTAATATAACAATGCAATGTTCATCCCCCCGCCCCCAACTTTACAATGTTCAGCGTATGTTAAACTGCACAACTTTCAGTAATGTCCAATGCAAGTATATCTATTACACTTAATGCAAGAATTATCATAAACTTGTCCAACAGTCTGCAGATGAATAGCTATCTTTTAAAATCAGCCTACATGTCAGCTCCTTCTTGCACACTTGTCTAGTAGGCTTTTCATTTAATATATCCATTAGATATCCATGCCCTAACTGATGGTACAATCTATCACTCTCCAGCATTCCATCTCAGTTTCAAATTGCACAGTTCAAAAGTTCACTGAAACTTTCTATGCCATAGTTGATGCCTTGACAATTGCTTGATTCTTGTCAAACAGAAAAATATCACATATAAAAAAGAGAAAAGAGAACAATTTTCAAAGAGTCTTTGAACTTAGTTGCCAATTTTTTCTTGTCAGATACGAAATTCAACATTCTCAACAAAATGCTACGACAATTTTCTGATGCATTTTCGACCCAAGGTTCTGGGCATTGAATCTCATTCAATGATTGTAGTTTAGGTCATTCAAAATCAACTCCATTTAGGTTATTTCTGATTGTGCCTATGCTATAGGCTTAGTTACTAGGGAATTTACACACGACCATCCCTACTACATATTTTGCAGGACACAAGAATGCTTATTAGAAGATTCAAATTTATTAGCGTTAATTTTATGTTTAGAGAACATGTTAGATGCGCAGATAGTCTTCAAAGGTATGCTCAGACTATACCTGATTTTTTGTGCCGCTTTAAGCATCCTCCGCCCTGGTTATATAAGGAGGAGGGGGAAGGAAGAAGTATAATGTCTCTAAGGAACATTTGTAATTCTTAGTAATGTTTGAGTCACTTTTCATTCAAAAAAAATCAGCTCCATTTTTTCAAAGGCTAATATCATATCAAAATTAAATAATATGTTTTGTCAATAAATTAATTTCCTTGCAAAACATTAAAAACAATGAAGGGAGATAAACATCAAAAAGAGAATTGAGACTTGTAAGAACTAACATGCTTATCACGGCACCACTTCCATCCTTCCACTATTAGTCCTTAACTATAGTGGCTCCCTGTATTTCCTTTTCTGGATAAAAGCTATAAATCTGTTGTTTAGTCCATAGGGAGATCAAAAAAAAAAAACTACGGAAACAACTACTCCTGAGGGTAACAAATCAAATATTATTTCTACACCAAGCGATAACACGACTTCATAAATACATATTCGAAGCAGAAGTAACGGAAAGTTTCCCTAATGTTGCGTGTAACAGTGTTAGGTTAAACATGGGCAACATCGCAACGGCACTAAAACACTTTTGAGTCAGAAAACACGAGTAGAACTTGGAAATCAGACAATGGATCACACACAATCATGAGTGGAACATATAAAATTTCCTATGCCTGTAATTGAGGAGCATTCCCTTCTTCCCTCAATTTCACATCTAATTTTGTCAGCAAATCATAAATCTGATCAGATTCAGCATGCATTTTATCACTAGTTACAAAACTATGAACCTCATTTTTACTTCCACCATACTTTGACCCACTATCTTTTTCAACCTATTCTCCTTTATCAATGTTCTAAGCTTTGAAGCATTATGCCAATTTTTCTCAACAGCATAGATATTTGATAAAAGTATATAATATCCCGCATGATTAGGATCTAATGAGAAAAGATTCATTGCTGCAATCTCCCCCATCTTTACATTTTGGTGTATCCGACTCGCACCAAGTAAGGCTCCCCAAACATGAGGCCCAACTGGCATGGGCATATGATTAATTATGTCCATTGCCCTATCCAATTCTCCCATGCGACCAAGAAGGTCAACCATTATCCCATAATGCTCTGACTGTGGCTTCAGTTGGTACTCATTTAACATCATATCAAACATCTTTATGCCCTCCTCAACCAAACCTGCATGACTACAAGCAGATAGAATTGAAAGGAAGGTTATATTGTTAGGCTTAACATCTGAATCGTTAACCATCTGATTGAATAATTTCAAAGCCTCTTCTCCTTGCCCATGGAGCCCATATGCTGCAATCATAGAGCTCCAGGCAACAACATCTCTATCTATCATTACTTTGAAAACCTTGTTTGCATTGTGTATGCTACCACATTTTGCATACAACTCAATGAGAGATGATCCAATAAATATGTTACTGTTGAACCCACTGTTAAGAACAAAACCATGTAGACAAGCAGCTTGTGGAAGAATCCCCAATTCAGAGGAAGCAGTAAGAATCTTCACTATGGCAACTGCATCTGGTCGGGTTCCATGAGATAACATGTTGCAGAAAACCTCCATTGATATGTGCGCCATCCCGATTTGAGCAGACCCACTTATCAAAGCAGCCCATGTGACCACATCTTTCTTGGGCATTCTTTTGAATACATTAATCGCATTTTCAGGCGAATAGCACTTCATATACATGTTGATCAGAGCTGTAGAGACTGCTACATCCAACTCAAAATCTTTATCAACTGCCAACTTATGAATTTTCATGCCTACTTCCAAATTGGAAGTGGATGCACATGCTTGCAATGCACTAACTACCGTAACTGAGTTTGGTTCCACACCTTCGTCAATCATTTTATTAAAAAGATCTAATGCATTGTTTCCAGCTCCATTATTGGCGTAACATGCAACCATTGAACTCCAAGATATAACATCCTTACTAGGCATTTCCTTGAACAGATTAGCTGCAATCTTGATGGCACCACTTTTTGCATATAAATTTAGCAATGAGTTGACCAATGCTAATTTAGTGGTAAAGCCCCTTCTTATTACAAACCCATGTATACTACTTCCAAGCCTAAAATCAGATAATTTAGCACAAGCAGAAACAGCACTAACAAGTGTAACTGGATCAGGATTCACATGTTCTTGCACAGTCATACAGGAAAAAACAGACAAAGCTTCTTTCGGATTGCCATTCTGCTCATACCCAGTAACCATTGAAGTCCATAAAACAACATCTGGTTTTGAATATTCCATAAAAATTTTGGCAGCATCATTCATTTGTCCACATTTTGCATAGAGTTCAATTAAAGCCGACCCCACAAACATGTCCATATCATTCTTCTTCTTGATAAATCCATGAATTGTTTTTCCCAATTCAAGCTCCAGAAGACCTGTACATGATTTCAGAGCAACTGACAATGTGAAGCTGTCAGGTCTGTCCTTAGCAGATACAGTTTGAACAATCATTTGGCGAAAAAGGCGTAAGGTCTCTTCCCATGCTCTCTTCCTACATAAGCTCCTAAGCATGGAATTCCATAGATAGGCAGTTTTGTAGGGTGTTTCTTCAAACAGTATATGCGCATGCCTCGTTGGTGCATATTTAGCATACAGCACACTAAGATTGGTTGCGATAAACCTATCATGGGTGAGACCTGATTTCAAACACTGTGAATGCAACTGCTCAATTACAATCTTACTACAACAAGTTTCCAACAGCTTCACCAAAATTTCTTTTCTTCTCATGTACAGTGACTAGTCACTTTCATAAATTCTGGAGTAGTTCAGTTGGCACTAAACAATCAAACGGAGTAACAAATATATTGCCACTGCCCACTGCAGCTCCAAAGTTGTTTAGTTGGTCTCTGCTAAAAAATATATATCAGACATGCCCTCATGTTTCTTCATCAATGAACACCCCTAGGGGTGGAAACAGCTCAGACCACGGTTTGGCCAAAACAGGCCTAAGCCTGCAAGCAGGCCTTTTCTAGGCTCTAGCCTGAAAAAGGCTATTGGATCATGCCTTAAAGGGTTTAGGTAGGCTTTGAGGTTTGAGCCTATAAAAAGCTGCATAAATGTAGGCCTTGAGCAGGCTTCAAAGCCTACAATGTGTAGGGTTTAAACAGGCTTTGAGGCCATTTAAAGCCTACATGATATTAAAATTAAATTAAAACCTGTAATAAATTCAAATAAAAATTATCCCGATATACCCAAATTATTGGAACAACACAACAATTCATCATAACCAATGACAACAACACAACAATAGCACTACTCCCTCTGTTTTTATTTATAGGAGAAACTATCACTTTTAATTTTTTTTTTTTTTATATAAGCAAAATTGCATTTTCCAATAGGTATTTATTATAAATTTCCTAAATTATCCCTCATAATTTTATCATTCACAGTCATAAGAAATAATTAATGAGGCTTGATTAACACAATTAATAAAAGATATTGTAATACAATTCTTTTATTTTCATACACATTTAATATAATTAACTGATTTTCTTAAATTGTGTGATACAATTTTTTCTCTTACAAATAAGTACGGAGGGAGTAGAACTTAGTACAATTGTATAACACCCCTAGCGACTTCATGTTCAGTGGTGGAGTTGTTACTTACCATTGGTTGACTTGAAGTGATTGAGGGAGTTGTAACATGCTCATTAATTTGTTGTTGAGATTGAGATCCTTGAAGAGGTGAAGAATCAACTATGTTATTGCTGTCCATTAGAACTTAGTACCGAGAGAGAGAGAGAGAGTAAAGAGCCACAGCTTCAATCATTCAATCCATATCAATCAAAGAAGATAATACTATGACTCAGAGCAATGCACCTTTTTTTTTTTTGGAATGAGGAGATGAATTCATTCAAAGAATGCTATACAAAAAACCAGAGAAAGCCAAGGTGAAAGGTCAGAGCAGTACCAATTCTTCCAAGACCAAAACTAGGCTTAGGATCAGTAGAAGAAAATAGGTAAACTAAGCTTGGATACAGGGCATGGATAAGTATCAACCAAATTTTGAACATGAGAATATCCAATAGAAGAAGATAAGTTAATTGAATATAACACAAGAGCCAAAATTTGAACACCTAGAGCTTCAATCGTTCAATCATTCAAACAGAAAACATTCAACCCAAACCTCAGAGCAAAAAACAAAACAGCATACTAATCATTACACCTGACTCAAAACGAACACGATATAAAGCATGTTTTATCGACACTGGAAAGGTAACGAACTCGGAGCAGGAAAGAAGCAGACGAACCTAGAGACCTCGAACGCGACTTGAGCTGACAGCAACGACGAAAGCAGAGAGGAGATCAGCAGAGAGCGACAACGACAGGAAAGGAGCAGAGATCAACGCGATAGGAAAGAAGCATACAGCAACGAGAACGGCAAGATATGAACCTTGACTTAAAGTTCTGAACAGCGAGTGCGAATACCGAAGATTATGCGAACAGCAGTGTGAACTTCGAAGCTTCGGCCGGTGCTCTACTCTGAAGCTTCAGATTGCTTTCGAAGAGAACATCGGAACGCCAAGGAAGGACAAGGATGAATAGCAGTAATTAGGACTAGAACCTTTTTTTTTTTGGAATTTAAGAGAAATTATATTAAAAAGGCAAAGTGAAGTGCATAAAAGATCCTTAAAAAGTAAAATTCCAGATGAAGGGATCTAGAATTAGAGAATCCGGAAAAGGGGAACATGGAAGCAGAAAAGGTGAAGTGAGGAAAAATTTGAATAAAAAAGAAGATATATGAATTGAGAAGACAACTTTGCTCTTCCACTAATGGAATCTGAAAATAGAGTCCTTGATGACAAACAATGTGCAAATCTTCAAGGGGAAGCTAACAATTGGCACTATAAGGATTCATAAAATGAAAGAAGGAAAGCCGAAGTTGTAGAAATGAAGAAAGTATTTCTTTTCTTTTCTTTTTTCTCCTACTAATTGGTGTAAGATTGTATTGTGAAAGGAAGTGAAAATCAAGCAAATTAAAGATATGTTTAGTTTCTGTTCTCATTTTTTATTTTTAAAAACTGTTTTATGATATAACTTTTAAAATTATTTTTAAAACAAAACAAAATAAAAATATATTTAGTTATTTAAATAAAAAAACAGTTTTAAAATTAAAAAATAAAGTGATAGTAATGATAGTAAGCAATTAATAATAGTGATTAATAATAAAAATTGATCAAAGTAGCTATAATTTTCAACAATCAAATTTAATATATTTTAAAAATAAAAAATAAAATGAAAATAACTTAAAGTTGTTTTTATTTTTAAAAGTTTAAAGTTGTTTTTATTTAAAAAAATAAAAAAGTTTTAAAACAACTAAATAAAAAACACTTGTTCAAATAAATTTTTAAATTTTTTTATTTTCAAAAACAAAAAACAGGTTTCAAAAAGTACTAGAGATCTTTCTTTTTTAACTCCAAATATCCCATCTTGTTGACTTGATGGGAGATTATTGCAACTATTAACCAAAGATAAAATAGGTATCAAGATGCACTCTGATCACTAAAGGTACCTTTTACAGGTTGAATGTTATTAACACCTTTTACATATTGAATAATATTAACAAGTACCCCTTGGTACATTGATAAGTAAACCTTAAAAAAATTACAACTTGACTTATGTTCTCCACAAGTAAGTAGTTTGAAAACTAAAGTGAGTAAGTGACAAGTAAATATTATTGAACTCATAACTAATTTTTATTAAAATGACAAGTTCATATTAACTTTTTTTTAATAATAAAAAGGATAATTTGATATATTAGTCAAAGCAAGGTAACAAACTACAACCAGGAAAATAATTAACTATTTTTAAACACCCTATCATTATTCACCACCTTACAGCAACAAAGTAAAGGATGATCAAAAACTCAAAAGAAAAAATTCAAATCATAAGCAAATTTAGCAAACAATTTGACACGCTCATCAGCTTCTCTATACACAAAAGCATAATAAATAGTCCAATCTCTTTGAATTAACTTTCTTACCTCTTGAATCACTTCATTGAATTGATGGTCATTAATGTTGTCTTTGAATATCATGTTTAAGGCTTCAATACAATCATTCTTAATTTCAACCTTTTTCAATCCAATCTTCCTGTAAATTTCCAACCCTTTGGTTATGCCTATAACCTCTGCAATTGTAGGGGGATAGGGATCCATTTTGCAACATATAATCCCTTAATCCAACTATCTTCACTATCATGTAGAACTCCCCTCTCCCACACATTATCCATGTTTCTTAGTATAAAGGTATCATTACTGAGTTTGATAAAACCATCTATTGGGGGATTTGAATGGTGGAGTCGTTCCTACTATTAAGTTTTAGAGCATAAGAACGGAGCAAGACCATATCCATAATAGCTTTAAATACACAACTTAATAAGAAGCATTCTCAATTGGTTCTTCTATGATAGACGACCTGTAAAATATGCCCAAAATGGGGTGAATTTGGTTGATTAAAATTTAATGCAATTCAAGCAGATATAAAGATAAATAAAGAATAATATCACCAAACAAGGCTGAGTAAAGGAAGACAAGTTTTTCTTAGAGTGTTTATCCTAACTCAATTCTAGCGACTTGAGCCTACATCCAATCTTCATGACATCTTTGAGATTTCTAACTAAATCTGCCAAGATTAAATTAGGCTCTAAGTCGTCTTAGTACAGACTTCTTACTAAATATGAAACTCTCCCTCTTATAAAGGTGATTATAAACCCTCTTAAGCTTCCTTAGCTTAATTTTCTCTATTTCAAGTAATGAAAATAGGAATAAATAGAGTAAGTTTAAAAATGAACTAGTCCTATTGAATATTTCTCTTTAAAAGTGAATTTACAATCAATGAAATTCACAAATAATGAATGTAATAGCATAAAGTTGTTAGAATTGAATGTGTGTAGTTGGCTCAATAACTTCTCTCTCTTCCTGCTTCATAAATAAGTCTTATTTATAAATAATTATTGAAATAAATTCGTTAGACTTATAAGCTTGCCGTTGAAGACTTCATCTTTATGTTTTCTGAGTTTTCCATTATTTGAGGTAGTAAAACAATGCTTTTCATTTGATTTGCGTGTTATTAGCACCTTAAGGAAAGTAACAACTATTTTCATTAAATGTTCTGACAAAAGGTAAAAGAAAGTAACACCAGTAGAGCAAAGACATATAAGTAAAAATAAATACATCAAAGAATGAATAAGAGATTAATGTCATAGATGGTTGTATTTAAGAGTATTCTAGTATGATAAGAAAGTAAATACAACAATTGGAAGCTAAAAAAATTAGAATTTAGAAGAGCTTTAAGATGCTTTGTTCAAGGAATGAAAAACAAAGCACAAATCTTTGAAGATATATTGGTAAGAAATGGAATATACGTGGGTATATGTGTGCATGAATGCATTAAGAGTGATAATGAAGAGCTTCATATGGGTAAATGAGAGATATACTAGTATGTATATGAATGTATTAAGAGTGACAGTGACGAGCTTCATACTAGTAGATGAGAGATATATTGGAATGACTTATCATAAAGGACATTGATTAAAGAAGATTTCTACCGGAACAACAAAAAAACATTTGGGTAGGAATGAGATATTTGGATAGAACTCTATTATATTGGTAAAAAAAATCATGCTAAGAATAGAGATGAACATTTTAGTAGAACTTGTTCATTTGGATAGGAAAGAAATCTTTAGGTAGATCTTCTATATACAGGTAGCAAAGTTATGAATAAGAGAGGCTAAGAATACAGGAAGATATTTGGTTAGGAAGGCACATACTTGGGTAAGAATTGGTCATACCGGTAAGAATGAGTTCCATCGATATGTCCAAGAAAGATTTCGGCACAAAGTTTTAATTCAATCTAATTCAAGCTGTAATCAATTCAAAGATAAAAAGCAATTCAAATAACAATTAGATATATTTAAATAGAAAAGAATTATTGAGAAGGAAGGTTAAAGATCTTAATCAGATAAACTTTATTTCCTTAAATTTGCCAATAACAATTATTTGCAAAATAACAATTTGTTTATTTTGTAATCGTCAAAATCAAGGTTCAACACAACCTATTGCATCAAACATGCTAGAAGTCGTAATAATATAACCAAGTAGGAGCTTCCATGGGATTTTCGTGGTATGAGCATTACCAATATCAATTGTCATATCCCATAATATCTAGTCTTCTCCTTCAAATGTTGAAATTACTCCCACTTACTTGGTGCTATGACTTTGTTCCATTTGTCTTGGGCATGTGGGGAGCAATCTCTAAGTAGATGCATAACACTCTCCTCCTTGCCATAACCCATAGGGCATATTCTTGATGATTGGAAACCATGTTTGGCATAGAGGGAAGAAATATGGACTTTATTGTGTGCCACCATCCAAAGAAAATATTTAATTTTCTTAGGTAAGCTATAATGCCATAATATTTTTTATAAATAAGTCAAACTTGAACGTTTCTAAGGCAAACTCCATTTTAAACTCGAATCATCCAGACTCAAGCATGAAATGTCACTATAGTAAACTTCAAGCTGATACTGTAAATAATTCAAGTATGGACACAAAGTTCACTCAATCATGAATCATAACACAAAAGTATCTCTAAGACATTTCCCCATACTATGTGCCAAAACACATTTGTGCCACTCTCTAGCTTAAGCATGAAATGAGTTACAATGAAGTGTCTAACTTCTAAAGTCTAATTCAAGCGAGATTCACTCTAACTCAAGCTTGAATTGGATCTATTAAGTCCTATCATGTACAACGGATAGCCAACACATGTGTGGCGCCTGCCATATCAAGCGTGAATTGGATAAATAAACATAAGTGTATTCTAAGGTTTGACACTTAAGTCCAAAGGACTTATTATGAGCCTAGAATTAGTTCAAACATGATGCATTCTTGCCATTATTAAAACATATGGTAACTCTCATTAGTTTTTACAATTGAATCTAGAGAAGAACGAAAAAGTAAACTTATAAATCTAAGTCTTCTTTTGATCTCATATTTTTGGAGGTTTTGTCACTTTGATGATGTTTATAATTTGCACAAGTGACAAACTCCTTTCTCTTGGCTTTATCTTCATCAAAACACATGATTCAACAGAATCGTTTGGTTCTTCAATAGATGTTCATATGAATTTTTAATAATTCTTCACATTATAGTTAACTTGGAATGGCCTAACTGATGATGTCAAATGATAAATGCATCTTGATTAGTAAACTTTTTGTTTATTGTTGCATTTATTTCAATTGTATTAATATTTATATAGCACAAACTAGAAGATAATGTGGATAATTTCTCTAGAACACATTTATCTCCAAATCTAAAACCTATAATATGTAGATATTTAATATATTTCTCATTTGTAGTTTCAAAATATGTTACCCATTTCGGAGGATATCTTTAAAACTTAACAAAATTCTCTAAGACTTAAATGAATATAATACATCATTGACAATAATTTTTGTTTGTTTAGATAATATTATAATTTCTCTTTCAAAGCTATCAATTAATTTGGTATTACTCGCTATAGTATTGATGCTCCCATCCCTTATTGTTAAATAAAAGAAATTATTTTTTATCTTTTAGTATGATGTGCTTTGCAGCATTATCCGTAAGGCATATATTTTTATTCTTGTGTTCAATGAAAGAAAGGGAAATATCCATATTCTTCGACAAAGAGAAAAATGTATTAAAATAAATATTTAATGAAACAAAATTTATTCCAAGCAATAATGATTTTATTACAAAGAAAACAAGGAAGCTAAATGAAAACATAAATAAAATATAATTCAAATTGTTCTAAGTATTTCTCAACCAAACTTTTTTAATCTTGATTTTTAAAGAAATCAGCCACCTCCAAATGTGCCATAGCATTAAAGCCTTTAATACCATTTAGCTCATTGATATCACCATTCTTATATGCAAAATTTGCCTCAACATCCTCGTTTTGATCAGTGAAATTTGCTTCCACATAGTTTGAATTCCTTTTTATGAAGGCTTGAAAAGTTTTGCTAGATGCTTAAGTGTAGGACAAGTATGTGACTCATGCCACTCATACCACATTGATAACATTGATTTTCAATAGTTTTTGAGGGACCACTCTTATCTCTTTTTTGCCCTTAATTATTTTGCTTCTTTTAGTGAGTATTAGGATTATAATTAGTATCACCATTATGATAATAATGATAATCAACACGTTCCTTGCCATGACCACGTGCATGGCTGCGACCCTGACCATGATAATTACTATGTATAGTCAGATTCATTTTTAGGGAATGAAGCTAATTTAGTAAGACAGATTTTATGATTTTTTATCAATAGCTCATTATTTTGTTCAACCATAAGAAGACATGATATTAATTCAAAATACTTTTTAAAACTCTTTTTATAATATTGCTGCTATAGAAACACATTTAAAGTGCGAACATTTGAAAATGTCTTCTATAATAAGTCCTCATTAGTTATTTTCACACCACATAATTTTAGCAAACAACTTATTTTAAAAACAGCTCAATTATTTTCACTTATAATTTTAAAATCATCCACTTAAATGGATCCATTCATATCAGGCTTTTGGTAAAAGCATCATTTTTTGGTCATCATACTTTTCTTTTGAATTATTCTGCAATTTTAGTGAATTTTTTATTATTAGGTACTCAATTTTTAGCCCTTTATGAAGATAATGGCAAATGAAAATCATTACTTTGGCCTTATCTTGATTGGTTGCCTCATTTCAAAGTAAAATTTCATTTTCTAGACCTTTGACATCTAAATGCATTTTAGCATCTAACACTAAGATAGATAATTTTTTCTTGTAACATCAAGAGCCATAAATTCAAGTTTGGTAAGATTGCTACAATCTAAACTAAATAATAACAATTAAAATTATGACAAAATTAATATATAAACCATAATAAATATTATAGTAAAAAAACATTTGTACAAACACTAAAATAATAAATAACCATAATTAGATCATAAAATATAATTCATAATGAAGCATAAATATAAAAAAAACACAAATATAAACAAACAAACTTACTAAATGCATAAGCACAATAAAGATAAAGAAAAGCAATAAAGCAAATAAATTAATTAAGTACTTCCTCTATTAAAAAATATAAGGCATTTTTAACCAAATCTCACCCCAATAAAGCAGTTATATACTTTTAAATTAACTCTATCTTTCTATATTCACCACTATTAAATACTCTACAATAAATATAAAGTCATTATTAATAGAGACAATTTTGAAAAAAAAAACAATGATTACACTTGAAAGACTAAAAATGCCTTACATTTTTTAATATCCAACTTCTCAAAAATTGCCTCACATTTTTTAATGAAGGGAGTAATTCATATGATATTAATAAATAAAATAAATTATATTAACAACATAAGATGATCAATATATATACATATATTATTAATTTAATGGAGGACTAAAAAAATAAGTAAAGATGACATCAAATGTATATACATAAAGAAGGAAAAATAAGTATATTAATATTTATAAAAATATAAAAAAATAAAAAATAAAACAATGAATGGTTGATAATACTAGATTAAATTAAATCGTCAATCACATGATTATTTTTTAAATGAACAGATTGGAGAAATATAAAATAACTTTATTAAGGAAAGGAAAAAAGAGGAAAATAAAACAATGACATAAATTGTAATAAATGCATAAACAGTATAACCATGAACATTAATAGAGTAATAAAATATAATGATATATGATATAAAAGCTCACACCTTATTTGTTAAGCCAATTCATATTGATAACATATTATAAAAATATAATTAATACTTCATTCGTCTCAAATTATAAAACATTTTTAGAAAAAATTTGTCATTCTAAAATATAAAAAACTTTGAGAAGATCAATGTTTTATTAAAGAGGCTTATTCTAATGTTACACTTTCTCTCTATTTAATGCTAATTAAGTGTAGATTTGAGGTTATTAAATGAAGAATATGTTTAAAAGTTTATATTTTTATTTTAAAAATATAAAATTGCTAACTGTATTTAATAAAATTTATTAGTATGTGAGATTTTATTTAAAAATATTTTACAATCTAGGACAAAATGAGTATAAAGAGTAAAGAAGAATAAGACAAGACAATAAATGGGAGAAACAATAGAAGATAATTTCTTATTCACTTATGTATATATGTTTTGGAAATAACATCTATTTAAGGATCTTTAACCAATTTAATTCTATTTTAATGTTACAAAAATATAAAAAAAGCATACAATGATGTATTACATGACCTTTACAAGTTATAAAATATTAATAATATACTATTACAAAAATATAAAATGTATATAATAGTGTATTATATGACCTTTACAGGTAAGAAACCCTTCTAAGTCATTTATTAGAATATTGGATAGGAAAACTAAGAGATATTTATAATAATTAATTAAATATGAGAACAATTCTTTCGCTTTGTTAGCGACCTCAAATCAGTACGACAACGATTTCCGCGCTTCTCTTTGAAAATATTTGATCCGACGGTCCAGACCCGATCTTCTCTCCACCCCACAACTTGCTCGATCTTTCAGCACTTCACGCCCTCATTCTTCGCAATCCATTTAAGCGTTCTTCTTCTTCCCTGTGATCCCAACCTAACCCTTCCCGCGGTTTTCTTTTTCTTCTTCGTATTCTTCGACTCTAGATTGCTGGTGTACTTGTTGTTGTTTCTTTTTTTCTCTGATTACTCTCTACAACAATGGCTTCGGACAATGAGAGAGAGACCCACGTTTACCTGGCCAAGCTCTCTGAGCAGGCCGAGCGATACGATGGTAACGTGGTTTTTTTTTCCTCCGCCCATTTTGTTTTCCTGGGCATTCTTTATTGCGATTTCGCTTTTAGCGTCAGTGTTGCTATTGATCTGCCTGTTGGGTTACATTGTGCTTCTGCCTTCTGTTGGATCACGTTACGAATTGCGGGTGTAGCTTTTCCGACACTTTTGTTTCGATTAGTTGGAAATGTCACTCTAATGCTAGAATTTGTTTTGTCATTTGGATTTCTGTGGTTAATTGGAAAGCAAGCGGGGCATGTATTGTGAAGAAACTGTTCCCCCGTCCCCTTTTTTGATCTTTTCCTTTATGTTCTTCAATTGTCCTCAAATTTATGTTCTCTTGTTGTGCTTCTAGCTTTATGAAGACAAAAGCCCTTTAGTTCTTGTTTCTCTCAAGTTGGTACTGCCTCCGGTTAATCATCCTTTTAACAATTGCACTGTTTAAGAAAAAGCGGTTCTAATCAATTAGTGGTCTTGAATTTTTATAAAACTATCATAAAATTTCGAAACTACCCTTCATTGAATAGTATTGATTGCTCCCTCTTCCCAATAAATTGAGGGTTAATCATGTGAAGGGTATTTTTAAAAAAATACATGATAAATGCTTCACTATATTTTCCAAAGGGTATTATATTATAGACCAGAGGTTGAACATGCATGGGAGTTAAAAGTCTCACTGTGCACAGAGTTCTACATTATGAATATTTGCATTTGTGATGCAGAAATGGTTGAGCATATGAAGACAGTGGCAAAACTTGATCTTGAGCTTACTGTGGAAGAGAGGAACCTCCTCTCTGTGGGATATAAAAATGTCATTGGTGCAAGGCGTGCATCCTGGCGTATTATGTCTTCAATTGAGCAGAAAGAAGAGTCTAAGGGAAATGAGAACAATGTCAAACTGATCAAGAGTTACCGCCAAAAGGTTGAGGAGGAACTCTCTAAGATTTGTGGTGACATTCTGACAATTATTGATGAACATCTTCTACCTTCTTCCACATCTGGAGAAGCCACTGTTTTCTACTATAAAATGTGAGCCAGGCTGCGTTTCTGCTTAATTCAACTATTGCATTACACTCTTTGATTAATTCATTTCCTCTTCTAGTCCATGCATCTGATTACTTCTTTCACCTTCTACTTCACTGCATATTTGACTTCTTTAAATTGATTAAAATATTAGATACTGTGTGAAGAAAATATAGTTCTATCTCTTTTTATTCTCTTGCCCTTGATCCTACAGGTGTTTGATGCCATGGAGGAGCCATGAAACTATGTATGAGTTTATCTTCTATTGCCATTCTCCATCCCTGATCTCTGTCAGCATCTTTTTGATGCAGGAAAGGTGACTACTATAGGTATCTTGCTGAGTTCAAGACTGACCAAGCAAGAAAAGAGGCTGCTGAGCAGTCCCTCAAGGGATATGAAGTATGTGCCTTTCTTTATTTTAGTGTTGAGTTGATTTTTTATGATATTGCCACTTGATGCAGTCCTCTATTTCTCATGTCAGGCCGCTTCAGCCACTGCTAACACAGAACTTCCATCAACACACCCGATCCGCCTTGGTCTTGCGCTTAATTTCTCTGTGTTTTATTATGAGATAATGAACTCCCCTGAAAGGTAGTTCTCTGATTCTCCCTATCACAGATACAAGGGTACTAAGCTCGAGCTGCTTGCTTGCTAGCTTTTGTCCTAATGTTATCGCTGACACTTACAGGGCATGTCATTTGGCTAAACAAGCTTTTGATGAGGCAATTGCAGAGTTGGATACATTGAGTGAAGAGTCATACAAGGACAGCACTCTGATCATGCAGTTGTTGAGAGACAACCTGACTCTGTGGACCTCCGATTTGCCAGAGGATGGAGGTAGGGTGTTGATTGAAACTTCAAATGACATAGGGTGCGTTTGAGATTCACCCTGGACAATATCATTCTGTAAATTATTGAAAAATGTTGTCCAAGACCGTTAGACAAGCTTGATGTACAGTGAATTAGAAACATTCCTCCAACTTAGACCCTCCCTTTCCCAACTATCAAAGAAAATCAAGTTGGAAGATTTTCAAATGGATAATGAGTTTTTTTCGATCATGAAGAGACGTGTAAGTAATTGAGTATTGTCTTTAGTAATACTTATGTATGACATGCTTATATGTCGATTATCCGTGACTTGACTGTCTAATTCTTTTGCATATGGATGTACCTGAAACTCCAGCAATATAACTACAGAATTTGTTGCCTCGGATCAAAGTCACACAGTTTCAAATATTATTGTTGAATAACTCCAAGCTAGATAGCTGCATCAAGCTTCGTGTTATGTACCCTGTAGTGCAATTGAAATTCTTCTTATGCTGAGTTTCGAGTAATTAATTCTCTGATGCAGGTGAAGATAATACCAAAAATGAAGAGGCCAAACCAGCTGAACCTGAGGTCTATTTTGATAATTATTTCTTTTCTATATATTATATGCATGATTTTTCTATGGCTGCTTTACACACACACAAGGTTCTAAATTCAGGATGTGATATTCTTTATTTTACAGAAGAACTAAGGTGGCCTTGAAGCTGGACATGGTAGTCTGATATCTCTAAGTTACTCTGCAAAGAGGGCATTTTTAAGCTTTTCTTGCCATGGATTTGGACCACATAATGCAGACAGTGGCTACTTCGTAGTTCTCATGCCTTTTTTTTTAAATCCACTCAAAGCTAGAAATGCTATCTGCGGCTGTCCTATTTTTTTTGGGCTTTACTACCCTTATTTTTTATTTCCTAAGTAAGCCTATGGATGATTTGCATTTACTTTTATGAGCCATTTCTGTCTTAGATCCTTTAGAATGATTTTCTTTTGTTTATTTTCGTTGTCCACTTGTTTTTAACATATTTCGATTTGGAATGTGTAGCAAAGTTTCTATACATTGACTACTAGAAAATGTGGTTATTCAGTTCATTATTAAGGTGAATGATCAAATAAATTGATAGAGATATCCTATAGACTTTATTCTAATAGATGATCATGCTAGTTGAATTAGTAGAACAAGAATTCCATACTGAGAGATAGAGGAATGGTATATCATTGGAACCAAAAAGGGGTGGAAATGATTAGCTTATGAAAAAGAAATATTGTATAACCAACAAAGGTTGGTCCATTTTGCAAGGAGCGGGCTTATAATTATAAGATTGTAAAATTAAATCCTGATATTGATATGAAGAATTTTTTGATAACAATTTATAAGTATTTTTGTAAGTGTTTTGAGTTTGAAAATATGCTTTAATCCTAACAAACTCTTGAGATCTAACTTAAACTTTTTCTTATATATATAAAAAAAAGAAATATTGTATAATTATCATTTTTCAAAGTCTTTCCTTTGGTTTTGCTTTTCTTTCAGGTTAGTTGGTTTAAATATGAAGACTATCGAAGTTAATATCATTTAAAGGCTTTATGAAAAAGGAGAAATTATTTTGCATATGGTCATAGTCATAAATGATTTTCGGATTCTATATATTTCCATGTATCTCCATATTATCATTAATATTTTGTTTCATTTTTGTGGATAAACATAAGAAGTCTACATTGAACACCAGGAAAATCTCTCAAGATATTGAGTGCGAAATCTCTCTCAACTAAATTATCACATATACAAGAGTTGAGATTTAATCCCTCAATCACTTGCTTAAGTGATTAATATTTTGTTTCATTTATCACATATAATTGTTTCATAAGTTACCCAAAGTTGCTCATCAAAACAATTTTTTAATATCAAAACATAATTTTTTAACCAACGGGAGTTGTATTTGACGGAATGGGCTAGTACGGGTGATTTCTCGTATCATATACAGATTTTATCCATTACAATTTTTCATAGACAGTTTTTTATTCTACATCTAAGCCTCCAAAGTGCAGCTTTTGCTTTAGAAGAACCTTTATCCCCAAAATATGATCTGACCCAAAATTAAGGGAGGGGAATGGAAAAAACCAGCTGTACACATCCAAAGCTGAACAACTGTCACATATAAAAATGTACATACTCCAAAAATGTTAATCCGTATCTTCCTTGACATGGTAACTTGGAGGCAAAGAGAAGACTTGTTCGCGGTTTAGTAATTCCATCTCTTCATCGTCTGGTTTCTGGGGAAGGGACATAAAGAGACTTGATCAGCTTTAAAATAAAGCCTAAAAAACTTCATGAGCATGAATAGAAACAGAAAAACCATGGCTTAATGATTAAGTACCAGCATTTCTATATTGTAAAATCGATCCAGCAATTGCAGGACTTCCTCAGAAGAGAAACTTCGATCAAAACTGTAAAACGACCATACTGAGATCTTCTATTATGTAATGAGAAGTAGATCTCGCTGATTATACTTGATAGTCAAACAAGCTACAAGGAAATAGTCGTGATTAGATGACCTAACCTCCTGCGTAAATATTCCATCAGACCATATATAACAAAGTGGCGATGCATGCCTGCATGAAAAAGTATTAACCATTTAAGCATGCATAAAAAGTTATAATAATTCACTCCTTTATTTGGCAACACCATGACATTAGGAAAGCTCTGTAAAATTGCCACAAGTTGTCATCCATCTTAGCATAGCTCCTCTTCATACGACAAAAATAATATACTTGTCATATAACAACTAGCTAAGAGAAAGCGACTATTTGAACTGCACGTGCTTGTACTTGCTACTATAAAATTACCTGACCAGGATAAGACCAAATTGCCTCCACCAGGATTCAAGTCAGTATCATTAGAACATCAAAATTATTAGTTGGTACTCATGAGTTACTTGATGGAGGTTAAGGTTGAAAGAAGACCAAACTTCATGTTTGTCAAAGTAAATTCTCATTTATAAAGGAAGCCAAACGATGTCAAATCTCATGAATTAGAATAACTTAATGGCTTAATGCTATCTTTGCACGTTTTAGGAACATAGTTTCAAAATGAAAAAGAAAGGCGTAGGTTAGGAAGGGCAAGGAAGGAATGGAAAATAATACTACCATTCTATCATTTGGATGTTTACAGAAGGAAGTACAGAAAGGGGGGGAATTATTAAGCTTAGCCCACATGAGACATTTTTATCAATTTCTTTTGGAGGATTTAGTCGAAAATAACACAGGATTTTTAAAAAGCAAATGAATTGTCAATTAAATGGACACGGGATTGGCATTTACACCAAGTTTAAAACGCCCCCCTCTCTCTCATACACACAAAATAATAATCATAATAATTCTTTAAAAAAAAAAAATCTAAACGCTTCCAAATCCGATGAAGCTGGGAAAGTGTTTGTGTCCAATTGTTTGTAACAATGTTCCCTCAGCTAATAATGCTAACTAGCCAGTAGCTGCCCCGTAACTTGACAGTATGCGAGACGAGTTGCTATCATCAGCTAAATCATTATCTTTTAGGTGTTAGTTGTCATTACTGAAATCTCGAGCTGAAAGCAAACCAATCAAAATTAATCAGCATCATATAATTCTAGCAAAACAGAAATGACATTTTCCACAGACGCATTGAAGCAAACACAGATATTTCTTTCGAAGAAAGAAAACCTAAAATTATTGCAAATAAGCGACTTGCCTTGCAGTTTTTTTGGCGAATAAATTTGAAGACCCTGTAACAGTCTCAGCTCCAAATCGACCTGCGTTGGCTCCTATAACCAGATTTACAAATCAACATTTAATTCAAATGTTCCAGCGTGATCCTCTTATCGGTGAAAGAGAGATTAACCTTGGGTAAAGAAGAAGCAGAGGAGGGAGGAGCTTTGCATGGAGAATGAACAGACGCGCCATCTTGTTCCTCTTCCTTTGCTTTGCCTCCTCCACTGCCCATCTTCATGTAAGCACTTGAGTAATCGAGCAGCAACAAAATCTGTTTCAGCGAAGATGAATGTGTATATGTATTATCGGTGAAACTGTAAAGGAAAATGACCATACCCTTTTTTCTGTTCGCTAGGGTTTTGGCATTGGGCATTCGATCGGAAAGTCACCGAATTTTCGAAGAAACCTTGTGTTTTTTTTTTTCAAGATAGACAAGGATATCTTGTGTTGTTGATGAAAAAACTTTAGGCCCATAAAAATATGGGCCATATAGTCCATTTAACACCAACTAGGCCCAATGTCTTTCATGGTTGATGCTGGTAAGATACTTGGATTTTTTTTTTTTGGGAAAATTATTAAGAAGTCTCACGCAAAAATTTCAATTACCTTAAAATCTCATGAAATGTACAAAGTGATGTCAAGTCCCAAATCTTACGTAATTACAACTGAATAAAGGAAAATGATAATTTAATAAAGGAAAATAACAACTTAGGTATAAATTGTCATTTTTTTTACCAAGTTGTAATTGCACAACATTTAAAACCTTGGAGTGATTTTTCTTTGTGTTTTTTTTTTTTAACCAAAGGGACCAACAAGTTGTTGAACTAGTCCATTTGATAGTTTGCAGGTACCTCTTTGAAGGAGATATCTCCCACTAAGAATTTAATAACAACTATATATTAGGGTTTAAACTCAAAACCTTTGATTAAGAGGAATCAATCTCCTAACCAATTAGTCCAAGCACTTGGTGGTACCAATTTCTTTTTTCCAATCAATCAAAGTTAATCTAATTAGTAATAATTTAGCTTATAGCTTATGAGGTTGGAGTTTTAAATTCCACTGTCAATTTAGTAACTTTATTAATAAATAATATATAAATATTTTTATAAGTATTATTTAAGTTCAGAAGCATGCTCAGACTCTAGTAAACCATGGAGTAAATAAACTCAGTAACTTAACTAAACTTGTCTATGGAAAAAAAGTTTATTTTTTCCACTTTTTTTATTGAGCAATACATGTATGTTTGTGTGAATTAGGAAGCATGGATGATGTATCATGTATGTGCCACCCAAAAGGCCCGCATTGACCGGAGAAACACACACGTGTTGGTTAGAATCTGTTTTGATTTCTCTTATTAATTTTAAAACAAAAAATTACATTAAATTTTCTTAAACAATAGTTACTCATTCTTTCAAAAATGTAAAAACATTTTTAATCAAATCTCATACTTTAATAAAATAGTTAGTTATTTTTAAATTAACACTATTTTTTTATATTTTATCCCTATAAAATAGAGTGTTTTATCCTAAAATAAATGTAAAATAATTTATTTAATAGGTGCACTTAAAAAAAAAGGCATAATTACACATTAAAAAATTAAAAATATTTTATATCTTTTAATATCTAACCTCTTAAAAAATGTCTTATATTTTTAAATGGAGAGAATATTTTTTATTTAAATATATAAGATCTCTTTAAACAATAAATATTATGAATTTATTAATATATTATGTAGCTTAAATGACCTGATTTTCAATATTATAGTATTTATACAAAATTTTAAATGACTTGTAATATTCTGATGCAGGGGGAAAATGAAACTCCTTATTATTCTTAATTTTTTTTATTGTGAATGGTTGATATCAAAATATACAAATGTTTTCAAACATGTCACTTTTAAATTTTTGAACCTTTTTAATTTTTATAAAAAGTTATTGAAATTTAAATAAATTATATCATTAATTAATTTCTACTTCTCTTATTATTTTGAAAAAACATAAATGCAGAATATTTTAAAAACTATTTAGACTAAAAATTAATTAAATTGTTGATATTATATTACCTACACCCAAAGTTGTTAAACTCACGAGTTTAAATAAACTCATGACAAAAATGTAAACTTGTATTGCAAACTTATAAGAGTTTATCTCTATTAATAAATAATTATTAAATATTATTGTAATTAATATATTAAAATATAAATCATTGAAATTAAATCCATTACATTGATACATATATGAGACATAAAAATTTTAAAATAGGAAAACTTATTTTTGATATTTTTGTTTTCTTTTTTTTATAATAGTTATTGCATTTCAAGTTTTTTTTTTGAACCAGGTTGTATAATTTTTATAAACTAAATTCTTCATAATATATACTTAATTCACTCAACTAAAAAAAAGCTGACGAGCTTAACAAGTTTAATCAAGCTTAAATTTAATCTGAGTTTACGAATTAGTTGACACAATTTTATAAGTTGGAAACGTAAAAATGATAAACTCAAAAGTAAACTCGTGAATTTAATTGAGTTTACATCTTGTTCGAGTTTTTGAGTGATTTGACATGATTTTGTAAATTAAAAATATAAAATATTAAACTTATAGAGTTAACTTGAGAGTTTGACAAGTATGCCTACACCTGTTTAAGGTTTCCATCAAAGTATTAAAATTAGATTGATCATTGAAATGATCAAGATACTAATTTAAGAATTGATAGTCAAAATCATAATTTAATCATGATAAAAAATTAGGTATTTTATTAAGATTATTAAAATATTAATTTAACGATTTATCAATTTAATCAAGGGGATTCCACGTTTCATCAGCATAAAGATGTGAATTCGAAAGTGGGTTATCTTCAATCTGAAAACATGCGTGTTTCTTTCCAACGTAAGCTTGTTTCTTCTAAATCGACTTGTGTTCTCTTTTCAGTTATGAAATAAAAAAGCTTTGTAACACAGAATACAAGTTGGAACACGAATAAAGGTGCGTGTCGCAGAAACAGCTCAATTAAAATCAACTTTTAGGATCTTAGCTGGGTATTATGTAAATCTTTGCCTACTTTCTAAAAGTTTTCTTTTTCAAAAGAAAAAAAATCTCTCCCTCTCTCTCTATACACACATATATAGGAGAAAATGACAACAAAATCTTTCTGAAGAGTGCAAATGACAAGTTGATCCCTCAAAATATAATAATTTCCCTAAAGTTTTTGGAAATTTTTCTATTATTAATAAATTTATATAAATTATTAAATTATCCTTAGTGAAAATAAATGATTCATAAGTTTTGTTTAAATATTCACAACTTTTTTTCTTATATTCACAATAATGCAATAGTAAATTACAATTTCACATGTTAATTTTTTTTATTTACTGTTGTATTATTGTGAATATAATAAAGAAAATTGTGAATATTTAAACAAAACTTGTGAATTATTTATTTTCAACAAGGGCAATTTGATAATTTATATAAGTTCATTAATAATAAAAAAATCTCTAAAGATTTTAAAAAAATTATGACATTTTGAAAGATTTTATCATCATTTTCTCTGTATATATATATATATATATATTCTCTTTATTATTATTATTATTATTATTATTATTATTATTATTATTATTATTATTTGTCAAGGTGGTCCCGATGTCCAATTATTCGGTTTTGTTGCCGCATTTGAAATTTCAAAGCTTTAATCAAGCACTTTGAAGAAACATGGATGTAAAGTTATATTCAAGCAACCTCATGAGTCTCACTTTTAGCATCATGAGTAGTGTATGCACGGAATTGTTTAAAGTAGCTCTAATATGGCCAAGGTAAAGAAACACGATAAGAAACTTAATTAGTAATGCAATTTATTAAATTGCCCTTTTTTCTATACCCCTGCTTGATTTTTGGTCAAATTTAAACATTATAAAGCCTATTTGAAAATAGCTCTCTTAAGATTGGTGAATATGATATTTCACAATTAAACGGCTAAAGCTTTTAGGACTAACACCTATTGATTTAATTAAGTTGATCTTATTGTTTGATTTAGATCTCTTTGTACCTTTCCTCAATACATTTTTTCATACGCAATTGCATCCCCCCATCTAGTTATTCATTTACTTTAATGGTATAAAATTGCTAATTATAACATTAAAATAGATATATTTTTCATCATCATTACTAAAATGCTTTTGAAAATAACATTATAATGTTTTTTATGTAGTTATTAAATGAAGAACATATTTACTTTAATGTAATAATGAGCAATTATACACTGTTAAATTAAATGAATAATTAAATAGATCAATGAGATTGAGTATATGAAGGGAGATATTGAAGGAGGAATGGAGGATACATATCACTTAATATATGTCGCCTCTCAACTCTTGTAACGATGTTATTAAATAATAGGATTAAATAACAAATTGATCTTTGAACTATATAAGATTAAGAGCATCTAAGACTCCAATTTCATTTTTTGTTGAATTTTGAAAATAGTGCAATTTGATTTTTACTGTTAATAAAAATTAAATTTAATCATTAGTTGACTAAAATAATAAGAAGGACCTCAAAATTACAAAAAATAGAAAAAAATTACAATAAATATAAAAAACTAAGACAAAGATTCAAAAAAGTATATAAAAAGACCAAGAAAATTTTACTGGTCTTTTTTTTATTTTGAGGTCATTTTTTAACCAACAATTAAAGTTAATTTTTGTTAATGATAAAGGTTAGATTTCTCTTTTTTCAAAAGTTAAATGATTCTCATTGCATCAAAAATGAGTTTAGGTCACATACGCTCTTGGATCTATAATTTAGTGGCCAATTTGTTCTTTTATCCTTAAACAATACTTTCTCAATTTTAATTTATAAGATACTTTTAAATAAAATCACACATACTAAATTACAAATATAGTTCATTAAATAGGCTTTGCAACTTTTTTTCAAAACAAAAATATAAATTTTACAAAAACCCCTCATTTAATACTCTATTTAAAGAAGATAATATAATGTGAAGGGTAATTTTGAAAAAAGCATAATTAACAAAACCTTGATTTTGTTAAAGTGTATTATATTTTAAAATACTGAATCTCTTCAAAAAATATCTTATGAATTAAGACAGAGGTAGTATATTTTCTGTAGGCTAGTTGATGCCATAAACCACATGTTAATTATTTGTAAAGATTAAAATTAAAAAATTATTTAATTGCCCATTGAAACTATAAAATGACAGTAAAAAATGAGTTTCATGTATTTATTTTAAAAGTATAATAAAAAATAAAATTCTATCAAATAATAATTATAAAATTATTACATTTAGTGTGGTTAAATAAGCCATCTAGTCAATCATGGAATGTTACAAATGTATAATATAAGGTAAATGAGTAAATTAACTCTTAAGCTATAAGT